CGTTATTGAATTATCGCCCAGTCCTTCTTCAACTTTTACCAGAGAGTTTTTAAACTGCAGTATCTATACTTCTACTTAAGTAACAAATGTGTGTACTTTTGACACCACTGCTTATGAGCATGCTGAAGTGTGCTGAAATACGGCATGCTCAAAATTTTCTGACGCATGTCATATGTGGGCCATAAATTACAGATAAGTTATCTGATTTTTGAATTACGTTAAGTGTGAGTTACTCATAATCCATGGCGCCCAGTTTATCGTTACCTATGAGTAACTTCTCCAGACTGCATCCCCTTCATAGGGTGAGAGAGCAGGTGTGATGGATCCTCCATTCGTTCATGGCCATGACTAAAAAAACCTAACAGAAATTATTCTGAATCTGCTGTGACACCTTTTTCTTTTTTATTTATTTTTTCCCCCCCGGGGGCAGTAGTATCATCGTTGCTCCCCTCATGAGCAGCTATGCGCCTGAAGTGAGCAGCTTTAACCCATGCTGCGTGATGAGTATTGCCTCATGCTGCGTTATACATAAGTTATGAATACTTGTAACGTGATGCATTAGCGTGATGTCTCAAGTCTCAGCCTTCGAAATAAGTATCTTGTAACTGATGATGCTTAACAGAAATGCATCTGTGTTTTTCTTGTTTCAGATTTTGATGATGGTTGGTCTTCCTGCCTGTGGAAAAACCACGTGGGCCATTAAACACGCTGAAGAAAATCCAGACAAGAAGTACAACATCCTTGGCACGAACGCCATCATGGACAAAATGAAGGTCTCTTTTGACGACTGTCCTAACTCTCGGAAAAAATCATGGACCCTCACACGAATGTTCTGGTTTTAAATCCTGTCTGTTTGCCGCGCAGGTGATGGGTCTCCGTCGTCAGAGAAACTACGCCGGGCGCTGGGATGTCCTCATCCAACAAGCCACCCAGTGTCTGAACAGGCTGATTGAGATCGCCGCCCGCAAGAGACGGAACTACATCCTGGATCAGGTACTGCTCCTCTTCCTATACTCGGTTCTAATACTCACCACAGTGAGTCAATGTGCCCTGATGATCACTTTCTCTAATGGATTATTTATTTATCTTTCAGGGGGTCTCTGTGTATTATAGAGTAGAAGAAGCATTGATCACCCTGTTGTCACTTGCTTGTCATGTAACAAAATGATTAATGGCTTTCATAAGCGACAGAATAATGTCATGTTTTTGCTACTTCAGTATATTTGCCCTTTGCTATTTATTCCATGTCATATTACAGTATTGTTTGTCTTGTGAGAAATGTACAAGTAAACCATGACTTTGTAAAGATGTTGAGAAACAAGTAAGCTCTGACTGGTGAGTAAGAAAAACACCTTCTGTTGCTAATTTAATAAGCCAGAGTTGAAAGCTTTTTTAAAAGCTAGTTTTAAGTGAGAAAGATGGAGCTTATGAGTGTATTTTTAAAAATTATTTTAATAATTTGACCCTGAAGGTAAGTAGTGACTAACATCATTTAGATTTTCAGATCCTTGTGCTCATTGAATGTTAAAAGGTAAGTGGGTCTAGTGACTCTGTGGCTTTTCTATGGAAACAGTGAGTATTTGAGGGTAAGTTATAAATGTTTGTCCTCGTCTGGATGGGACTAGAGCTCGTTAAAAGAAAAAGGTAAGTGAAACTAATGAGAGGGACCCATTAAAATAGTCAGGCGTTTTAAATCGGCTCCCCCCGTATATTCATGAGAAATTGAATTGCAGATTCTTTGATTAAGAATATTTATTTACATGAAACAGTTAGGTCCGATTTTAACACCGTTGTACTTTTTTAAAAGTAATTTACTTTGTTTTTTTTTATATTTCTTTAGATCCAAGAAAGTAAACTTGCTTTTATCTGCATGACATTTTCAGGCACACTCTTTTAGATGGTCTGTTTAAACATTGTATTCTAGATAATGATCAAGCAGTTTTTTTCTCGTTCTTGCTACATGTACGATAACCATAAGAAAACATAGATAACATAGATTATGAATAAAGCTGTAGGAATGCAGGATAGAGGTTTAAGACGGGCTTCATCTGATAGTTGTTGAAAAGGATGCTAAAAAGTAAATCTATTAGGGGTGTAATAACAAATGACAAATCCTTGAATATCGCAAAAGTTAAATCGACGATATTAGATTCACAATGTGGCTAAATTGTCTTAAATGTGCAACATCCATGCTTTTGTGTTACTTTTATATAACTTCCAGCCACTATCTGTGTACCACCTAAGAGCTTATTTTTCAGCTGTTTTAAAACAGCGAGATGTCTTTAAGTTTTCCAAGTTGTATTAGAGCTATGTAATGATTAAAAATATCGCAAAATATCGTCGTCGTTGTTAGTGTATTGGGATAAATTGTACTGTGATATATGTATTGTGGTGTGTATTTTATCGCCAATTTGCACTCCTATAAGCTTTACATCTACTGTGATCACCAACATTATATGTACACACACGGATTATATTAACATTTAGTCTGAGTCTTTTAACATGCTACAGTTTTCTTTTCAGTATTATAAAGAAAATCCAGACACATGACTACTAGTTCTAATTTTTATGAGGTCTCTGCAGACCGCTGGGTTGGATTTATAATGTTGTTACAATATTAAACGTGTTAGAAACTATTTAGCCCTGAATACACCAAATCCGATTATCCGTATGATGTGACAGAACATCTGGATGGACGAGGTCGTTGCGTTTAGTGATCATTGAAAGTCAATTGCTATGAACACGCCTGACACGATTTTCTGGAACTCAGAGAGAGATAGGCCATAGATCTATTCTAGTCAGACTACGCAGCAATTCAGCAACAATTTCATAGCTCTGACAGGTAGAGAAATATGGTTACAAAGTAAAACACATCAGCTTTGGGGGGAAAATTCACCAAATTTCAGTTTGCTTTTCTTCAGATGTTCTCATTATATTGTAATATAGGCCTATAAAAAATTCTGTGTTCTGGTTTAAGAACTGCTGCTCAAATGCATGAACACTGCTTTGTAGCCACACTTTTTTTCATAAGTCAAGTGTGGGTAATTGTTTTGCTTAGTCGGCAATTGAGACAGAAGTGAAGAAAAATCTGCACATATCAGGATCTGCTCGCCCTGCGTAGTCGGAGCCTCTCTATACATACTGCAGTCAGTGTGACATGGGAGGTGTGATCTAGGCTTTGTATATAATTTGTTTTAAGTGTTTTTTTGACAAAAGAACCATTAAGAAGTCCCTACCCCCTGTTTAAACCCGTTTGTTGGCAGGATCTAGTGTACTTTGCCAGAATAAATGGGGGCTGAGAGAAAGTGGTAATTTTTCCTGCTAATGATGCTAAAGTTTTGTTTTTTTTTATCTTTGATCCTAAAGCGTTTTGGTCCGATCGACTGGTTTAAAACGACACAGTAACACACATTTATTTTTTTCTCATGTCTAAACACGTCTGTAATGCTTTTTTTGAGATTTAGGACCACCCCATACTTGGACATGAACAACAGCTGTAACATTTAGACCAGCCAGACCTAGATAAGAAGTGTATTATGCTTAGCAGCTTTGTGTAGTTAATGACACGCATACAATTGCAAAGCACTTAATCTGTCGATTTATTTTTTAATGAATTGAAGAAATGGATAGCCAAAGCTTCCTTGAAGATATTTTATTATATTAAACCAGGTGAAACTAAAACCTTTCCACCTGAGGAGTTCTGGATAGAGCATATTGACAGTCGTGAAAAATAGTTTTAATCTGAAATGCAAATTTTTATGTATTTTGTTTACAATATGACTGCTCTAAGTGGGTCACCCTGTCAGCTAAAGGTATATTGTAGAGTATCTATAGATTTAACGATTAATCGATTACTTAATTAGTTGAACAATTGGGAGAGAGTCTTTGTTTTTTTTTTTTGTTGTTTTTTTTTAAATTCGTTTTAAGACCGATATTGTCATAGTTTCAATTAAAATTTCTATTCCAAATGTCAAAAGGTGCTTTAAAGTTGGGATTTGTAAGATCAAGTACCCTGGATGTTTAGTAATATGCCGAACAGTTGTGGTTTTCATGAAGCCAGGAAACGAGAAAGTTAAGTCTTATTTGTGTAATTAAGGGTTTAGTCAGAGTTTTCTGGGTGTTTTTTTTTTTTTTTTTTTAACAGCCCTTCTTTGTTTGAAATGTTCCGCAGCGGACAAAGCAGCATTTTAATCACTGCGTCTTGTAATGCTTCACTTTAAAAAGTGTTTTTTAATTTGTTTTTCAATGTTTTGTAACCTACATTTCATTTAAAACTTAAATAAGCTGCTTCGGGGTCGATTAAATATTTCCAGCAGTTTTGCATAAAGTCTTTAGATTCTGGAATCCTTCAGGCTCGCAGTTCAGTGAGACTGGATGTTTGCACAGATTTTTACTCTTAACTGCCTGAACAGTCAACAATAGGCATATTAACTATGCTTTACAATCACAGATCGTCTTTGTATGATGAAAGTCGCTCACCAGCTCAATTTGAAAATCTTCTGTCATTCACTGATAGGAAAGCTGCGCATCCTGCTCTTCTTAACAAGTAAAGCAGACGGTATAGTTTAGTGTAGGGTCCCCTCTAATAACTAACATGGGTTAAGAGTCACTGGGCCCTGGGATGCTTCAGCTTCAAGGTGAGTCTGTGGAGTGATGAGAGGGCTGAAAAAAAACCCCAGTAGATCGACTCCGAAGCCAAACCTCTCTCACTTGATTATTGCAGGGTTCCAGCTTCCTTCCAGTGGAAAGCCTTTACAAGTAAACAATAACAAACAAGCTTCTACTTCTTTCTTGTCACCATTGCTAGACAAATGTATATGGATCAGCAAGGAGACGAAAAATGCGTCCTTTTGAAGGTTTTCAACGCAAGGCTATTGTAATTTGTCCCACGGACGAGGATTTTAAAGAACGAACATTAAAGCAAACCAATGAGCAGGGGAAGGATGTGCCCGATCATGCTGTGTTAGAAATGAAAGGTAGGAATGCTGTGGAAGCAAATGATTAAAAAAAATTTAAAAAGATCTACTTTTTTTTTTCTGTGTTGTCTCTAAAATCAAACTTGGAAGATGTCCCCTGCCCCCTACCCACCATAGCCTTTGGCCAGATATCAGACCTGGAATTATTTTTTTGTTTTTGTTTAAAACAGTTCACATAAATTTGATTCCTATTTTTGCCCTTTTTCTGACACTTTTCATTCTGATTCTTGGCACACTGCAAACTGAGACTTCTGCCCTGTTCTGGTCACATAGGAGAAAATCTGGAATCTTTGGCGACCATGAAAAGGAGATTTCCTTGGTGCTAAGAAGTAGTCATGTTTTTGAGTAAAGATGGTTATTATCCAACCTTTCCAGGAGCTGTGCTTGGTTTGCAGTGCTGTTTCCTCTTCACAACTTTTTAGTCGTTCATTTTGTTCCCTCCCCCATCTCTTCTGATGTCCCCTTCCTCTCTGTCAAAACAAATGTTTCCTCCTCGACCTCCTGGAGGTGATGTTTGATTCTTTTACCCTGCCATCTGCTTTCATTATCTTCTCTTCATTTCTCTAATTTATATTTCCCTTGCCTAGTACTAATTATGTCTCATTTTTGTCTTCCGGTGGTGTGGCTGCTCTGGTCTCCACTACACATCCCCTTCCCCTCTCTCTCCCCCTGTTTCCACCTCTCCATCCGTCTCTGCTCTGATGGGTGGTCTCCTACTGCAATGGTCGTCTCTGGGCGCTCCTTCAGCCAACTTCACCCTCCCTGAGCCCTGCGATTTCCTAGAGGATGTGGCGTTTGTGGAGCTGCAGCGTGAAGAGGCTGAAAAGCTGTTGAAGCAGTACAACGAGGAGGGCCGCAAGGCCGGCCCACCTCCCGACAAGCGCTTTGATAACAGGCAGGGTGGGTTCCGTGGCCGCGGCAGTGGCAGCTACCAGCGCTATGACAACCGGGACGGGTTCCGTGGTGGCTACCAGAACCGTAGTGGAGATGGAGGCAGTGGATACAGAGGAGGTTAGTGTCCATGTTCAGTATGTAGCCTTTCTGTAGCTGTTGGCTCTAGGAATTTAGGCTGTGGAAAAGCGAGGGGGGAAAAAAAAAAATTGTTAACTACATGCTTTACAGATCTGTGTAAAACAGTTTGAAAAGCAGATTTAACACCTTCACACCTAACACCTTGAATCTAATGGACACAGGTCAGTGTTACTACAGCAGACGACTGAGTTAACGGCTCGACATCAGGAAGTTTTCATTGTGCCTTATTGATTTAAATGTCGGCATGGTTAAATGGGTTTCTTTTTTTCACAGCATAACCTTAAGTAACATTTCTACAGTTGGATGGTTAAAAAAAAAAAAACATTTGAAGGCTCTCGTTCCATTTGCCAACTGGATACCTGTTGTTGCTCTTCTACCTGTTCAGGAAAAAGGCAGTAACCTCTGCGTTCCTTCTGAGCCTCTTTATTTTCTGAAGCAGCAAAAAGCTTTACCAATGATAACTTGTCTTCGTTGAATTTTATTTTTTATCTGAGAAATGTAACGAAGAAGCTATTTCTCATCTATATCATAAAGCTGCTTGGATCTGCTGTTGGCTGAACTCAGTCTCACATGCTTCAACTGTTCCTATTGGTGCAGAGTCCCTTCATATCAAAATGGGCATCATAATCAGTATTTTATGTATTTTGGACCCATAAAATCTATAAAACTGGTATTTATATAGATTTTTTTCTAAAATAATTAGTTCTTTACTGTATCTCTAGATCTGTTGATGTATTATATCTTAAAAAATCCTGCTGACAAAAAAATATTTTGTCCGAATACGAATTGCTTTTGAACAAAAAGCAACCATTTAAAACTTGTTTCAGACACATGTTTTATAATAATTTAAAAAGACCTTTCTTATTTACCCAGCTTGCTGGTTTAGTTTTATTGTTTGGCATTACCACAAAAAGATCCAGACAGTCTGCTTGAAGAAAATACTGGGACTTTTTGTCATTTTGCATTTGGAGTTGAGGAAATTCGTTTTTTCTTTACCAAAGGAATGGTGTTTTTTCTCTCTGTAATTTCCTTTCTTTGTGTGTTGCAGGTTACAATCGTGGCAGCTACAACCAGAACCGGTGGGGTAACAACTACCGTGATGGAGGCTCAGATTCCCGCAGCAGCTACAGCCGCAGCCAGCCGTCAGGAGGAAGCTACAATCGCCCAGCTTCCTACAACAAGGGCGGATACAGCCAGGTAGCTGATCTTCCATCCGTCTTTAAGGTTTTAATTTACTCTTAAAAGGGTTCAGAGATGTTTGAAGCTTTGGATTCCTTTATTTACCAGGGCTACAATCAGAGCTACAATCAGGGGTACAACCAGGGCAACTACAACCAGAACTACTACAGCAGCTACAGTCAGTACCCAGGATACAGCCAGAGCTACAGCCAGACACCTGCACCTGCACCTGCACAGACGTACAACCACCACCAGCAGCCGCCCGCGCAGCAACCACCAGCGCAGCAACCGCAGAGCTACAACCAGCAATATCAGCAGGTAATTAATCTGGTGTTAAATAATAAACCACAGCTGCATGGCGGCTCAGGATGAGGTCCTGCTGGCAGAAAATACCTGTAGACTAAATTCAACTGAAGACTCAAACCAGAGAAGTTGGATATTTATTTAACCCCTGCAATGCAATGTTTCTTCCTTTAAAGTTCAGCTTGTTGAAGCAACTTAGTTGTTCCTTCTTAGTTTTGCCTTTACAGACTATATTCTTACCAATTTAGCCTCTTTAACAATCATCAGTTACAACATAATCCAGCTTTCTCATTATAAAACAGTGTTTATCGTATTTTCACGACCATAAGGCGCACCCTACTAAAAGGCGCAGTCTGTTATGTGTGTCATTTCTGTATTTAACACACGCATAAGGCGCAGCGGACTATAGGGTGCATTTTTTATATACAGGTACATGTCCTCTACTAGGTTTAAATACCTCTACTGCGTATTTAAAAATAGAGCGTGAGCAAAACTGAGTATCATTGGGTTTTATTCATGTATTTATTACAAAGTATTAGTCAAACCTGGAAGCTGGGTGTGAGACAGACACATCGCTGATGACAGAGCGCTGTGATCACTCCTCTGAAACAGTTTATTGACGCATAAATTAACTTAAAATCCTGAAACCTGCCG